TCGCAGTCTAGGCTGATTTGCAATCGTCTGGCTTCAAGTTCTACTTTGAAGAATCTTTAAATATTCCCATTATTAATATTAGAACAAGACATATAAGCGTACAGTGTTGTTTTCAATTGGATAATGTTGAGGAATCACTCTAATTTGCATAGATTTATATATGAAAATGTTAACCAATGACAGTGAATTCGTGGATCAAATCCAGCCGAGGAGTCATGATTGCTCAAGCGAAAGACAAGCTAACTAGCTGTAACACTTCTATGTGCATCTGCAACATAACCTGCTCCTGCGACGAAAGCTATATAGCGCGAACGACCAGACAGCTCAACAAACGTATTAATGAGCACCTTCCTTCATGGTTTAGAAAACGACAAACTTGAGTACCGTAAACGTGACAGCCACATCAGTTATCACCTGTCCATCAGCGAGCTTCCCACACAGAGATATTTCAATGGGACGAACGGAATGCGTCTTATCCAGAATAACCCCAGTAAGTGTTTCTAGATTTCGACGTGATTCCTACCAAAAATCTGTCGCCATTCATGATGCTTTGATGTCACTCTCGTAAATGTTATCGTATACAATGGTGATATTCAATCAAATGTTTCTCCAAGTAGGAGAGACTAACCTTGATTGGTAGAGGAATCAGCATTGGGCGTTTCATCTGTTGATGAATCTGTAGCAGTGCCATCGGTCTCATTAGTTGTCGCTTCCTCGCTTGTGACTTCATTGGAGATTGTAGTCATCTCACTGGTTTGTTCGACACTGGATTCTGTGGGGAACCGGAATCAATAAAACTAAGAGTTTAAGAATCAGGGAACACTCTATGTTGTGGATGTTTTGATGTATTTGTGTCTCGCAGTCTAGGCTGATTTGCAATCGTCTGGCTTCAAGTTCTACTTTGAAGAATCTTTAAATATTCCCATTATTAATATTAGAACAAGACATATAAGCGTACAGTGTTGTTTTCAATTGGATAATGTTGAGGAATCACTCTAATTTGCATAGATTTATATATGAAAATGTTAACCAATGACAGTGAATTCGTGGATCAAATCCAGCCGAGGAGTCATGATTGCTCAAGCGAAAGACAAGCTAACTAGCTGTAACACTTCTATGTGCATCTGCAACATAACCTGCTCCTGCGACGAAAGCTATATAGCGCGAACGACCAGACAGCTCAACAAACGTATTAATGAGCACCTTCCTTCATGGTTTAGAAAACGACAAACTTGAGTACCGTAAACGTGACAGCCACATCAGTTATCACCTGTCCATCAGCGAGCTTCCCACACAGAGATATTTCAATGGGACGAACGGAATGCGTCTTATCCAGAATAACCCCAGTAAGTGTTTCTAGATTTCGACGTGATTCCTACCAAAAATCTGTCGCCATTCATGATGCTTTGATGTCACTCTCGTAAATGTTATCGTATACAATGGTGATATTCAATCAAATGTTTCTCCAAGTAGGAGAGACTAACCTTGATTGGTAGAGGAATCAGCATTGGGCGTTTCATCTGTTGATGAATCTGTAGCAGTGCCATCGGTCTCATTAGTTGTCGCTTCCTCGCTTGTGACTTCATTGGAGATTGTAGTCATCTCACTGGTTTGTTCGACACTGGATTCTGTGGGGAACCGGAATCAATAAAACTAAGAGTTTAAGAATCAGGGAACACTCTATGTTGTGGATGTTTTGATGTATTTGTGTCTCGCAGTCTAGGCTGATTTGCAATCGTCTGGCTTCAAGTTCTACTTTGAAGAATCTTTAAATATTCCCATTATTAATATTAGAACAAGACATATAAGCGTACAGTGTTGTTTTCAATTGGATAATGTTGAGGAATCACTCTAATTTGCATAGATTTATATATGAAAATGTTAACCAATGACAGTGAATTCGTGGATCAAATCCAGCCGAGGAGTCATGATTGCTCAAGCGAAAGACAAGCTAACTAGCTGTAACACTTCTATGTGCATCTGCAACATAACCTGCTCCTGCGACGAAAGCTATATAGCGCGAACGACCAGACAGCTCAACAAACGTATTAATGAGCACCTTCCTTCATGGTTTAGAAAACGACAAACTTGAGTACCGTAAACGTGACAGCCACATCAGTTATCACCTGTCCATCAGCGAGCTTCCCACACAGAGATATTTCAATGGGACGAACGGAATGCGTCTTATCCAGAATAACCCCAGTAAGTGTTTCTAGATTTCGACGTGATTCCTACCAAAAATCTGTCGCCATTCATGATGCTTTGATGTCACTCTCGTAAATGTTATCGTATACAATGGTGATATTCAATCAAATGTTTCTCCAAGTAGGAGAGACTAACCTTGATTGGTAGAGGAATCAGCATTGGGCGTTTCATCTGTTGATGAATCTGTAGCAGTGCCATCGGTCTCATTAGTTGTCGCTTCCTCGCTTGTGACTTCATTGGAGATTGTAGTCATCTCACTGGTTTGTTCGACACTGGATTCTGTGGGGAACCGGAATCAATAAAACTAAGAGTTTAAGAATCAGGGAACACTCTATGTTGTGGATGTTTTGATGTATTTGTGTCTCGCAGTCTAGGCTGATTTGCAATCGTCTGGCTTCAAGTTCTACTTTGAAGAATCTTTAAATATTCCCATTATTAATATTAGAACAAGACATATAAGCGTACAGTGTTGTTTTCAATTGGATAATGTTGAGGAATCACTCTAATTTGCATAGATTTATATATGAAAATGTTAACCAATGACAGTGAATTCGTGGATCAAATCCAGCCGAGGAGTCATGATTGCTCAAGCGAAAGACAAGCTAACTAGCTGTAACACTTCTATGTGCATCTGCAACATAACCTGCTCCTGCGACGAAAGCTATATAGCGCGAACGACCAGACAGCTCAACAAACGTATTAATGAGCACCTTCCTTCATGGTTTAGAAAACGACAAACTTGAGTACCGTAAACGTGACAGCCACATCAGTTATCACCTGTCCATCAGCGAGCTTCCCACACAGAGATATTTCAATGGGACGAACGGAATGCGTCTTATCCAGAATAACCCCAGTAAGTGTTTCTAGATTTCGACGTGATTCCTACCAAAAATCTGTCGCCATTCATGATGCTTTGATGTCACTCTCGTAAATGTTATCGTATACAATGGTGATATTCAATCAAATGTTTCTCCAAGTAGGAGAGACTAACCTTGATTGGTAGAGGAATCAGCATTGGGCGTTTCATCTGTTGATGAATCTGTAGCAGTGCCATCGGTCTCATTAGTTGTCGCTTCCTCGCTTGTGACTTCATTGGAGATTGTAGTCATCTCACTGGTTTGTTCTGCGCTGGTTTCTGAAATAAATATATAAGAAGAAATTGAGGGATTTTTATATTTTTGTCGATTTTGCCTCTTGCCTTTTCGTTCGTTGTTTTCTCTTATGGCGTCTTTCGACTTTTATATCTGTTATTACCTTGTAGCTTATTTTTGGGTTTATTTTTTTATTTATTGTTACATGGCACACTATTTGTGATATTATTCCGAATTTTTTTGACAGTATTTTCCCTTCGGTTTCATGTTTTCTTTTTATTTCTTAATCATTCTTTACTATTTGATTATTTGCCATTCGGTGGATCCTCTTTATGAGATTGTTTGATAGCGCTGTGGTTTTTTCGATAATTGTTTCTCGCTTTTTCACCTGACATACTGAACATGTGAATATACCGTGGCAGTGTTTCAATTATTTTACTGTCTTTCATTGATGTGAACACGAAATTAAGTTTCACTATGCTAATCACTATCTTGCATGCGTTAGGTTGAATTGATTGTGTTCACCTACTGGTAACGTTTTATCCGATACTCCCATGTCACATTACTATTTGATTTGTCAATCTGTTTTTACGATTTAGCTGTTTCTCGAGAAGTCTGGTCAAATGTAGTATCAGTCTGCATAATGATAACTTATTTTATTTCATAAAGCCTTATTTTGGATAATAAAATAAATAGACTAAAATATTCCGGTAGTTTAGTAAAAGTACTCACCAGGATCGTTTGTCGTAGATATGAATTCTTCTGTTGTAGAAAGCCTTTCTTCAGTTTCACTGGTTTCAAATGCTGTGGAGCTGTCTAATTCAGAAGAAGTCATGAATGTCGTATCAGTTGTTATGTCTACATTTTCTGCACCTGGTATAACTTGTGGAATAACAAGCTCGAAATTAAGTAGGAGCAGAAGAAGTATTGATATTTTTATCATTCTATGATTGCACTCTCCTAAAAAACAAAAATCATATTATTCGAACTGTGAATAAAGGAATGACCGATGGAATATATGTGCCATATATGTTTGAATGCTCTATCGTATGTGTGTTGACAGATGTACACCGAATAATCCCTTGTGGATATACCTCATTTTTGTGAATTGTGAAATAGTCATTCAACAACTAACCTGGTAATATCTTTCCCAGTCATAATTGTATATCAAACATAATAAAGTGAGTTTGTAAGGAAGTTACTGAGATCGATTCAGTGATCAAACCACTGATAAACTAAAATGTTCCAAGTGTTGATAAAAGCTAACAGACAAGAAATAGAAGTCTGATGTTTCTCTCCCGTGCTTCCAGTCTTCAAATATCCGTCATAAATAAGCATTGTGGTTAATTTTTCTTACTGGCTTTAGTTACTTAATTTAGTAATAACATGCTTAGCATTTATTTATGAAACAAGTGAACTTGATGTTCAAAGAGTATTAATGATATGACTTATGATCAGTTTTAGAGATCTATGCGGTATTTTCTTACTAATTTTGACACCTTAAGGTTTTATTCCTCCTTCGTCCATCATAATTATGATGACTCATAAAACTAGGTAACTTCTATTTCTTACCATCTTGCCTCTACGGCGTCACCTTCAACTTGGCATATTGCGGTGAATGCCCTGCTTTAATTCAGTCTGTCCGTTTGCCTCACAGCAATATCTCCGGTATCCACAATAATAACTCTCAAAGTGCACAAGCAGCTACTGAAACACTTCCTCCCTAAAGTACACTAGTTTGTCTCATAATCCAGAATACTGGATATTAGGGTTTAATATAGTATCGTGGTAACCTGTTCACCGGACATGTTGTACAGAAAGACACAAGTACTTAATAGGTAATTACACCACAAATCTAATATTTCTGTTTGCTCACGTCTAAGCGAATATGAATCTTTTTATTTCGTCTTTATCAACGATTTCACAAACAGAACTAGCCTAACTTACAAGCCAATTCCATTCGGCTCAAAGATTATATAATAAAGTGTACCAATACATTTCCATGTGAACACATCAGTAAATACCCGATACGACTGACATCCAGTGTCTTATTGCTGGATTCAGACTTTTCTCATCTTGCGTAGATTGTGTCAGGGTGAAGTGTATTACTCCTTCCAGCCTTACTGCGAGCAAACTATTATCACAGAAATCGCTTTCATGACTCTTTCATAATTTTAACCAATGTGCTTGTTTACATTCTTGCTTTTGCTATTGTTGACCGACATGCTTCACCGACTATCGATTTGTTCCATTAATTCCATTTCAGAAGAATAAAATAAGCACTTTAAACAGATAAAAGTATTCTTTGGTTGCGACTAATTAACTAACAGATTATACTGATGAAAATATAAGAAAAGATTTTGTATTTTTATTGCGTATAGTAACATTTCGTTTGCTTAAAATATGCAGGAAAGATTCTTATTCTCACACTGACTAATTATTGTTATGCGGATAGTTGAATTCCTCTGAACTTAATTTGTTTGAGCAGCTAAGGATCATGATCAGTGAAGCATGTATTTCGTGAGTAACATGAGTCTGAGGCCTACTTGTCAGTAACAGTGCTGTGATGCATTCAGTCACCTGTTATCATGTATCATCTTGACATTCAGTAGAAAATTTGCAAGGTTGCTTTCTATTAATTCAAACAACTCGTCATATGAATGTAGTCATACTAATTGATGAAGTGCCTTAAACAATAACTCTTCGGAGGAATACGAACTGAAACAAGGTCGATAACACAGTCAGGTAAACAAAGAGACCAAGAGAACAGTGAATTCATTTAATATAATACACATAACTAAAGTTTGCTACCTATAATATCTTCACAGTTATATCTGGCCATATCTAAGTTTTCTTAAAATTAATATGACAGGAAATTCTTTCTCTTTTAGATGATGGATTTACCGCTTTCACCATTCGTAGAATAAACAATCAACTTTAATGTAGTTCTATTGCCTTTTATAAACTTTTGAATGTTTTTTTAAATATTGGCAGGTTAAATTATCCCATGATAACGAGGCAATTAATCACATTAGTAATTCTTTTCTTAACTGCATAATTCATGCAAACACACCCACACATTTGCCTATCACTGAAATCGACGTTACTTATTTGTCAGTGAATTACATTGCTTATTTCCTCCTACTTGAAACCTGTCACCTAAATATACCTGAATACCATTGAGTCATGGTTTTTCCGACCGAGACTCAAACTTAGCACCGATTGTTTGAAATGATGGTTGATGAGTTCCGAACTGCACGAAATGCCTGTCCTACATTCATCGTGAAAGCCACTACCAAAGAATCAACTGGGAATCAAAATAATGGTCCCGAAATATCAGTGCTCAATTATAAGTAGAAATAGAGAATGTAAGTAAAACGGCTTGGGAAATTAGTCAGGATAAGCACTAGAAAGCTTTGATTATTTTCTGTTTTTGCAGTAGGAAGAACAGTGTTCATGAAATTCATTTTCACAATTTGGATCGTTTCATGTCTGAAGTTTTACTAAGCCTCTTGGAAATACTTCATACATCGTAGTGTAGTGTTATTTTCTTGTTTCCTTGTGGAATCAGCTCAACGACTAGTTTTTTATGTATATATTTAAGCCACTCATTCGCTAACAAATTAGAATACCGTTATTAAAATGCAGAATTTATCCAGAAAATGTGATACATTTGGGAAATACATTTCTTAATATTTGTTCACGCATTCACTCATCAACGTTATTCATATGAAGAATGTCAAAAATCAAGTAGATAATCTACTAAACAAAGACAATAAAGGATTTATGAATAAGGAGAATAATGATTGATACTACTCTCGGTAACGTAAACAGATAAGGATTTTCAACGTAGGTAAAGTGTTAAGACTATTAATGTTAGTGTAGAACTTGGGCACTGTGGTAGAATGTAATTCCGTATTAGATAAGTTCATTTCTAAATATCACACAGCGATGCAGTACTAACAACTGGATGACGCTTCGAGCACAATTTATTGCCCGTTATCTTATCAAGGATGTTAAGTGTTAGGATGAATTATTTTTTTACACACGCAGGGATTAGTTGTATAGACGGCTATCACCACAACATATTTCAGTATGTGCCCCCGTGAGATTCTTTGTATAATCTTAAAATCTTCCTATTTATTTTAATGTGTTTTGTTATAAACAATGTTGGTAGTCCGCCACCTGAGTTTATGCAGGTTGTTTAGCTCAATCATCTTCTACACTAAGTGCTTATATTTCCCCCCTTCTACATATGTAACGTGTGACTGCTGCCACCAATGTGTCCACTAGCACGTGTAAATTAATATGCAATATGAGATGTGATATAATCACCTATGCGATTTTGACGTGTGAGGTAGGCCGAGATTTTGCTGTTATTTTCATTTGTAACCTGCATAGTCGACAGAACTTTGTCTGTCTTGAAGAAGAGATAATCAAAGAGGTCGAATTCTGATTTTAAAAAAAAACATATTTCACCGCTGTAGAAAAAGTATACCAACAGAACGAAGGAATAACCACGAGATCTCTTATCTCACCGATTATAGTTGGCATATTCACGGATATTTTGAGAAAAAGTACACTTAAATCATTCATGCCATCTCAATAAAATGTTGGTTGAGCCAGTAATAATGAAGAATAATGATATTGAGAAATTTTTCTCAGACATAAACACTCATACAGACTCAATAAAATTCGCTATGGAAATGGAGAATGAGTTTGGGGATCTACTTATGCTAGACTATAATATATGAAGAATAACAAATGGTGGAATAAAAACAACAACACGTGCAAAACTACGCATTCTGGGAGATTCCTTGATTTTTGTCGCCCCAGATAGGCTGAATGTTTCACTTTTATAACCGTACTACAAACAGAGTCACATCTGAAGTAGTCAACGTTTATAATTTACTAGCGAGAGAACAGCTCCACGCAGTTAGAACGTTAACGAACTCCCTGCTTGTAAAGATTTACCCTCAGATTACTGTATCTACTTATGAATGATATTGAAACTTCAATCTAAACACTCAGTAATTATGTAAACTGAAGACTCTTCATTGATTTTCAATTTCATTAGGGTGAAGACGTTCATTTATGAGTGTTTCTTATCCCTCACAGATAGTCTTTTTTGACAAAGAGATCTTAACAGCTAAACATTAGTAGTTAACATGAGCTGTCGTACAATAAACTGTGGAGGTACTCATGCACTTTTAATTCACAAAGACGTACACTTAAGAACTTTGCGTTAATGAGAGGCTGTTGATTTCAGGATACTGAGTGACTTATAAAATAGAAAGAGATAGAAATGGAATAGGTCATTTAGTTAATTATGAGTGTAAGTCGAAAGAATAATTACTTGAAAGTCAGTGAAATGCGCATGCCTATCTCCGAGCGCCTTCATGAATGTCAGTCAGTCTATTCCCTAAGAACCATGTTATCAATTGGTTTTATGAGGAAGATGTCAGCTGCTTAACCTGTGGCTAAAATGAACTATCAGATATTTTATTAACGCATGGCGAATCTTGTTTTTTACTGATGGAATAATGTGTTCACTAAGATAGAAGTTCTTACACCGCATGTACCAAGTTACTGAGATTATCATTCACGCCTAACATATTATTTCTGGTCACTCTACCATACAACAGTAAGACAATAAATACTAGGCATAAAGCTTGATTTCCATACAACCATTCCAACAGAAACACTGCTACACTGACAATCTAAGTGTATTTATCACACTGTGATAAAGCCTTAATATGTGATATTAGATGTTTAGTATCTACTGAGTTGGATTACGAGACTGTGGAATCTCCAAAACGCAAGAGTATATCACTTTGTCTTTATTTGTTTCTCGTTTACTTTATTCACTGCTAAAATGCTATGAATGATTTCATGAAATTCAGCTACTGTGAATACAACACGCCAAAAGACGTTTAATATAGGGACTGTAATAAATGGTCAATGTTATACCTTCTATACTGAACTAAAATAAACAACTTATTTGGGCAGAAAGAATAATATTATTATTAACAAATTTTCGGGGGAAGTTTCTTCATCAGACAGGAAGACTGTCCTAAATCTAAACAAGTTTTACAAATAAAATTAATGAATTCACTGAATGAGAGAGAGATAGAGAGGTAAAATATCTCTTGAGATTTGCATAGATGTGTACTTCATTAAGAACAAATTATCAATGATAATAACAACAACAAAAATAATAACTTTTGTAAAGATAAAATGTGAACACCAAAACTATGCATCAATCCAAAGAATATTTTTATGATACTTACTCAAAATATTGGTTAGAAACAAGCAGATAGCTTCTTAATCATTACTGGCTTGTGTATATATATACACATTCCAGTTGCTGACAAACCGATAGATTGTTTCTTATATTCATTAATCTGTGAACAATGGTATTGGACACGTTTTTCAGGGTTTTACTTCAGGGTCAGTGCCAACGGTAAACAAAACACTTGCACCATTGTCTTTCAGTCACACAAATGAAACTTGTTAAAACATTCTTGTCTTCACCGCATACCTGTTGCCAATACAAACTCTTCTTTAATTACTTACTCCTGGTTAATTTTCGTCTTTTGATGAAGACATTTAGCAAGTTTTGTTACAGTCTACGCACGTGGTTTGGGGATGGATCCTCGGTCGATGCACTACTCATTCTGGCTAAGCTTGTAGTAAGGCCGTTTAAAACGGAAGGTAGAGCGTGAGGCTAGCAACCCCAACCCTTAAAAATATTTTGGAAAACCCACTGCCAGTGAAGCTTCAAAGCTCTGGCTTGAATTCCTAATAGTATAAATAACTGATAGAGAGAAACACAGATCTTCATACTGCACGCTGGCAACCATGTGAAAAGTAATGATTACCACTGCTGGCATGTGCGTAGGGTATCTCTCTATTCACTCACTGCTTGTCATTTCAGACATTGAATTTCAACTCGGTGGCTAAATGGTCAACGTGCTGACCTGTTAATGTGGTAGTTTGGGTCCGATCCCTGATGGGATCATAGATAAGCATGGTTAGCGAGTCCCAAACTAGGATGAAACAGCTATCCACTTCCTCTTGTTTCTCACTGATTCTCTCAGTTCGTGACAAAATTCATATTCAAGTTAATCAGAATATCTACGAACCCTGTTGTGTGCGTACTGATGAAGACTCGCAAACCTCTTTTGTGAATTACTTATTTCAAATCCCCACCTAATCAACTGAATACCAGATGAAGTTATTTTCCGTTGAGATGCTTAATAAGATGGACGGATATCAATTTATGATGATACATAGAGGATAGTATTAGATCTTTTAAATGAATACAAATTTTCTCAGCATCACTTAAGTATTTCAAAGAAACAATTCACAGAAAATTCCACGTATTTTTGAAAATTTAGAGGAGTGTAACAAGAATTTCTGAGAACAATCTTCCGTCACGCAATTCATCCGCAGAGGTGACACTTGGCAAATTAATCAATTCATTGTAGTAATGCGGATCACAGGTTACAAGGGTTAACACCTAAGTGATGCCATTGATTTTGGTGAACAAAGGCAAAAACAACTTTAGGAAGAAAATAAATGTTCACCTACTTCAAACGGATTTGGAAACTTTGAGATGACTCAAATTGAAAAACCTCGCTTCAATACTTCACCTGAAAGCTTTATCTGCTGACATGACCTTTATTTGGATGAGTCTGAGCCTAGTTTTTATGATAATAATTAGCACACAACTATTGAGGTGTGGAACTAGGTTACCTGGCCCACGTCTTCCATGTACTAGCCTATGAACCCCACTTATTGCCCGACGATTGATGAAAGCACCTACTATGACAGACTGAAGAACATGGAGAGGGTCAAGTTTCCGTGACCCAATCCATGAAAGTAGATATTATGATTAGTGATATAAGTATAAAACTTGGACATTGTGGTAGAGTACATCTCCACTATGGATAGGGACAGAGTGAAAATTCTACGAAGTAATATAGGTAGGTGAAGAGCGGGAGAGATTGAACACTGAATCCTAGTTCATTGTGTCTACACCCAACACAACACATGCAATAGAAATGACTCGAAGCAAATACCACACATAAAGGAGACATTATTACCAGTCAAATCAGAGGATAACAAATGACGTTAAGATGTATTCAATTCACATTATAACATTCTAACAAGTTACTTATTTTCACTGTAAAAAAATCTTATTTCCCATCTGACGGTATTTTATAGATAACACTAATATTATTTCTGAGTGTACTTTATCTTATATTGATTTTATTCACTCATCTAATCATCAATTTTACTCATGTATAAAAATGAAGCAAAAAGTTGCGTTAGTGACCTGATATGATTATGAGCAGCAATAATTTGTGCTCGAAACGTCATCAGTTAATATTACTGTACAACACTGTGTGATTTATCAAATTAAAATCTTATCCATAATGGAGAAATATTAGGATTCTTTCATAACTATGGCGGCGGCCTGCTTAAATCTTGGGCTACCGAAATTTCCATCCTACATATTGCATCTATTTCGTCGTATTCATTTTGTTTTAATTAGTCAATTATGTGTCCAATTAGCATTACTTACTCTCGGATAATTTAAAATGTTTCAATCTGATGATTTGCGAGTATATAACAACCGTAAGAAAAAGCCTCATGGTGGGTGGCCAAGATCCTTAAAGTGTACTCCAATGCATCAGATGACTATTCCTGTGATTATGAGCACAAATTGCAGATCTCTACCGAACAAGATTGATTACTTGCACTCTCTATTATACTCAAATGTAAAAGAGCTCCGCTCTTCAATTCTGACCATTGTATTGTACGAGTCTTACCCAAAATTTACGGAAAGTTACACAGCAAAGCCTTCTCAAACTTGTCTAAAAAAGTTGTTCACAGAAGCTACTCAAATGAGAACGTACATCATCTTAGAAACATGCTCAGTGACACAAGATGGGATCTGTTTAATCATGATTCACTTGATGACAATATCTCTAATATTACATCCTATCTGAAATTCTGTTTTGAAATCTGCTGTCCAAAAGAAACACTATTCGTCAAATTTGACCGTTTCTCCTCGCCTCAACTTTAAAAGCTTCGTAGAGAGAAGGAAAAACTACATAAAGTGAAAAATAAAAGTGGTGTAAGAAGAAATAACTTCTTAATTAAGTCTGAAATGCAGAGGTTGAATGTAATATATAACCAGAAATTCATATCCTGCAAAAATGCTTCTAATATTTGGAAACTATTTAAGGAAATCATTGGTGGTAAGCAGATAAACAGTATTCCATATTCTTTTGATGTATGTTCTCTTAATATACTTTTTAATTACTCTCCCTCAAATAGCATGCTTCCCAGCATCACTAGTGTTAATAATAGCCCACTTCCAGGTTTCAACGCAAATGATGTTCAAAAGTGCCTCAAGTCTCTAAACCCTTCTCAGGGTTTAGGTCCAGATTATATACCTAGTATTATTTCTTTTTAATGTTCTGGTATTCTGTGTCACCCTCTCACGGATCTGTTTAACAAATCTTTTTCCAGTATTATTGTGCCTGCCGTTTGGAAAGACATTAAATTTGTACCCATACCTAAATTATCTACTGGAGCATGTGTGAAATTTAGACCCATTGCTATTACCTCTCCTTTTTTGAAAACTATGGAGAAATTACTTTTACTTAGTCTTCTACCTTCGCTAAAATCCTCAATGACCCTAAACAATTTGCCTATAAGCACAGTAGAGGCACTTTAGATGCAGCTGCCGTCTTATATCATAACATTGCTTCCAGTCTAGACAAGGTGGCTAAATTTGTTCGTTGCGCCTTCCTAGACTATACATTTGCTTTTGACTCAGTCCCTAGGGACATCTTATTAAATAAACTTGCAGCTAGTCAAACAGAATGTTGGACTGTTAACTGGTTACATTCCTATTTCTCAGAAAGAAAGCAGTACACCGTATATAAAGGGAAGTCTTCCACTTCATTGCCTACTGAAGCTGGTGTCCCTCAAGGCGCCGAACAAGATTGATTACTTGCACTCTCTATTATACTCAAATGTAAAAGAGCTCCGCTCTTCAATTCTGACCATTGTATTGTACGAGTCTTACCCAAAATTTACGGAAAGTTACACAGCAAAGCCTTCTCAAACTTGTCTAAAAAAGTTGTTCACAGAAGCTACTCAAATGAGAACGTACATCAACTTAGAAACATGCTCAGTGACACAAGATGGGATCTGTTTAATCATGATTCACTTGATGACAATATCTCTAATATTACATCCTATCTGAAATTCTGTTTTGAAATCTGCTGTCCAAAAGAAACACTATTCGTCAAATTTGACCGTTTCTCCTCGCCTCAACTTTAAAAGCTTCGTAGAGAGAAGGAAAAACTACATAAAGTGAAAAATAAAAGTGGTGTAAGAAGAAATAACTTCTTAATTAAGTCTGAAATGCAGAGGTTGAATGTAATATATAACCAGAAATTCATATCCTGCAAAAATGCTTCTAATATTTGGAAACTATTTAAGGAAATCATTGGTGGTAAGCAGATAAACAGTATTCCATATTCTTTTGATGTATGTTCTCTTAATATACTTTTTAATTACTCTCCCTCAAATAGCATGCTTCCCAGCATCACTAGTGTTAATAATAGCCCACTTCCAGGTTTCAACGCAAATGATGTTCAAAAGTGCCTCAAGTCTCTAAACCCTTCTCAGGGTTTAGGTCCAGATTATATACCTAGTATTATTTCTTTTTAATGTTCTGGTATTCTGTGTCACCCTCTCACGGATCTGTTTAACAAATCTTTTTCCAGTATTATTGTGCCTGCCGTTTGGAAAGACATTAAATTTGTACCCATACCTAAATTATCTACTGGAGCATGTGTGAAATTTAGACCCATTGCTATTACCTCTCCTTTTTTGAAAACTATGGAGAAATTACTTTTACTTAGTCTTCTACCTTCGCTAAAATCCTCAATGACCCTAAACAATTTGCCTATAAGCACAGTAGAGGCACTTTAGATGCAGCTGCCGTCTTATATCATAACATTGCTTCCAGTCTAGACAAGGTGGCTAAATTTGTTCGTTGCGCCTTCCTAGACTATACATTTGCTTTTGACTCAGTCCCTAGGGACATCTTATTAAATAAACTTGCAGCTAGTCAAACAGAATGTTGGACTGTTAACTGGTTACATTCCTATTTCTCAGAAAGAAAGCAGTACACCGTATATAAAGGGAAGTCTTCCACTTCATTGCCTACTGAAGCTGGTGTCCCTCAAGGCGCCGAACAAGATTGATTACTTGCACTCTCTATTATACTCAAATGTAAAAGAGCTCCGCTCTTCAATTCTGACCATTGTATTGTACGAGTCTTACCCAAAATTTACGGAAAGTTACACAGCAAAGCCTTCTCAAACTTGTCTAAAAAAGTTGTTCACAGAAGCTACTCAAATGAGAACGTACATCAACTTAGAAACATGCTCAGTGACACAAGATGGGATCTGTTTAATCATGATTCACTTGATGACAATATCTCTAATATTACATCCTATCTGAAATTCTGTTTTGAAATCTGCTGTCCAAAAGAAACACTATTCGTCAAATTTGACCGTTTCTCCTCGCCTCAACTTTAAAAGCTTCGTAGAGAGAAGGAAAAACTACATAAAGTGAAAAATAAAAGTGGTGTAAGAAGAAATAACTTCTTAATTAAGTCTGAAATGCAGAGGTTGAATGTAATATATAACCAGAAATTCATATCCTGCAAAAATGCTTCTAATATTTGGAAACTATTTAAGGAAATCATTGGTGGTAAGCAGATAAACAGTATTCCATATTCTTTTGATGTATGTTCTCTTAATATACTTTTTAATTACTCTCCCTCAAATAGCATGCTTCCCAGCATCACTAGTGTTAATAATAGCCCACTTCCAGGTTT